TCAGAGCACATACACCCCCAGCGGATCTTCTGTGGGTTCTTACACTCCAGTCCTTTACTCTCTTTGGGACTGCGCTACTGAATGGTTTCTCTTCATATCTTGCCTTCTGTATGTGCCAAGCCCAGAAAGTTACAGGGTTGTGGGGGCAGAGGGATAGAGATCATTTTCTGCCATAAGCCCTTGTTTTTATAGGTCTGTTCTGGACATCAACAATGAGCACATACTAATATCATAAGGTGTGATTTTTGGCAACAGGGACAATAATAACTATTGTTCGGAAGGGATCACGTAATTTTCGTAATTTTTCACAAATAACACAGCCACACAATTATTATTCCTACCATGATACCACTTTTTACAAAATGTCTAAGGGTTTTCAAATTTATTATTTTCTTTACTTCTCACAACAGCTTTAGGAATATAAGTTAGATACGATTATCTTTTATGAATCACAGATTTGCATATTTTCCTCATTACTATTTTATATTTTCTAGCCTGTGATTGATATATTGAAGGAGTTTATTTTACGGCATCTGGTTAGTTTTTCTAAACTGTTTTCCATGGACTAACCTCTGTTTTGTTCCTTTTTATTTCTCATCGTGACAGGATATAAAAATATTAAATAATAATTGCTACATTTCACATTTTTCCTGATACTGATTTCAAGGAGGTTGGTTCCAATTTTGCCCCATTTGTTCCTATTTTAAAATTTTATTTTCCTTTAGCATCTTTGTAAGTGCTTGCATTTTTTTTCTTTCTTGATGACAGATTACTATACATCAGAAACATGTTGGAAAATACAAAAGAGCACAAAGAAGAAAACGCAAATCATAGATAATATAAAAAAACTTTACCTAAAAATAAACCTGTGAACTATTTTATGTATTTTCCTTTCCAGCTTCTCATGTCATCTTTATTGCTATGGTACCATAAATTATTGAAATTCCTAATTGTTATACATATTTGTTTATAATTTTCCTGTATTTTAAGGGATACCACGGTAGAATCTACTTACATAAGTATGAGAATACATCTGATACATTCCTAGTAAAATCACATAATCAATTTTAAGGCTTTTGCTGAATAGTATCAAAAGCCTATCCAGAAAGGTTTTTTTTTTTTTTTTAAGACAGTGTCTCACTCTGTTGCCCAGGCTGGAGTGCAGCCCCACAATCTCTGCTCACTGCAACCTCCACCTCCCAGGTTCAAGCAATTCTCCTGCCTCAGCTTCCCAAGTGGCTGAGACTACAGGTACTTACCATCACATCTGGCTAATTTTTGTATTTTTAATAGAGTCAGGGCTTCACCATGTTGGCCAGGCTGGTCTTGAGCTCCTGACCTCAAGTGATCCACCTGCCTTGGCCTCCCAAATTGCTGGGATTACAGGCTTGAGCCACGACACCTCGCCGGAAAGTTTTACCAATATGTGCTTCCAGATACATTGCATGCATATTTTACCATACTCTAAATAGCCTTAAGTATGATCATTATCTCAATCTTTGCCTACTTGATGAGTACCAATAATACTTTAGTATTGTTTTATTTTGTATTTTAATCTCTCATGAAGCTGAGTATTTTCGGATGTATGAATTGCCTTTTTACTTGCTTTGTCCATTTTTTCTATTGAGAAGCTAATTTTAAAAACAATCTTGAAAGAAATATTTTTACACTAAAGATATTAACCTCTTGTCTAGTACCTATTTTAATTAGCTTTCGATTTGCTTTTTCAATGGCGTGTTAACAATTTTTTTCCATTTAAAAATGATGAATGGTTATTGAATTGTACCATACGTCTTACTGGTATCTGTTGATATGTTTTCTTATTTTTAAACCTAAAGATGTGGGATATTGCAGCAATAACAATAAAACAACAAGCCAGACTACTCTTGTATTCCATCAACTACTTTGACATGCTATAATTTTGTTTGTATTTGACAATCATTTGAAAATGACTTGAAAACAAACCATCTCAAGTTATAAAAGATACCAACTGGTTCCTGCCTCTGGATCACTTCCATAACTGAATAAGAGGCCCTGACTCCCCAGCTCCAAGCCTCTGGTGACTGCACTACAGCTGGACACCTGACCTGAGAGTTCCCTCAGTAGACTCGCCAGTGGCCAGGCTGGCATGACAGTGAGAGGGAACCAAATGGGTTTCTCTCTTGAGGACTTGGGACATTGAGTCAGTCAGTGGTGGGTGCTGGAGCTGAGAGCCGAAGGCAGAGAGATGGGGCTGTAGTGGGGTGGGCTGGTGCAAGATGAAGGAGCAGGTATGCAGGAAGCCCGTGGTTTCTGAGAGGTGGAAGATGCTCAGTGAGTTCCTGCGGGCTTTTGAGTTCCTCAAGTTTCCGGTGAGTTTCAGATGTGCCCTTTGTCCTTGGATTCTGTGAGAGACCCCAGGCTTCTTTCAATCACATATCTTCCTCTTGATTTCACTTCCTTCTTTATTTAAAGTAGTTGGAGTTAGGTTTCTGATTTTGCAACCAAAAAGCCTTCATGGGATACTCACACACTTTCCTATCCATCCCACTGGGTGAAGTGCGTGGTTATGCGCTACTGAATGGCAGGAGGTCACTGGCTTCCTGCTGAGAAACAAAAGAGCTGAACTCGGCATTGTATGATCCCGAAGCTTTTCCCTCAACCCTCTAGTTCTATGAGTCTTTGGAATTAATGGAGCTTTTTATTGGGACATTTTCTAAACCAAGCTTGACGGAACTCTAGAAGGACAAAGATTCAGCCAAAAGAAAATGTGTTACTGAAATGGACCCTTTAAGACAGGAAGAAATTTTCCATTTTGAAAACAAATATTTTTCCTTCAAACCTGAAGGGGCATTTTGCTTTCCTGTCATTGAATTGAACAAGTACCTCTGCTTCCTAAATAGTGTCTGTGCTTCTCCTCACGTACCCAGACCAGGCGTCCGGCAGTGACGGGTAATCAAATCACCTTAAGGGACACTGAGCCATCTGCCCCTGATCTCACCCGGCAGAAGTGAGCTGTTGGAAAGGGTTGCAGCTTTTCATCTTTAGCCAACAAGGACCAATTTTCTCAATGAAAGTATTGATTAAGTCTTTCAAAACCACCCCAGCTTCACCAACATCAAGGGGGTAAATCGCAGCATCAAGAGAAAAGAAAATCACAGTGTGGATAAGCTGTTTTCTTTGCACTTTGAAAGGCCACAGAGGGAGTGTCACTTGAGCCCAGGAGTTTAAAATCAGCTTGAGCAAGATGACGAGACCTTGTTTTTACAAATAATAATAATAATAATAATAATAATAATAATAATAAATAGCCTGGTGTGGTGGTGCGCACCTGTAGTCCCAGCTACTCAGGAGGCTGAGGTGGGAGGATTGCTTGAGCCTAGGATTTGGAGGCTGCAGTGAGTTGCATCCTGCCACTACACTCCAGCCTGGATGACAGAGCGAGACCTGTCTCAAAAAAGAAAAAAAAAAAAGCTTTCTTTTACATGCAAAACAAAACCATGAAATGCATTTCTCAAATCACTAACAGAAAAGATCTGCAAGATTACCAGCATTTTAGGATTAGGAAACTTTAGTCTTAGAAGGTAATGAGGAGGCTCTGAGTGACAAACTATGGTCACCATGGAACTGGCCCCATGCTGGAGTGCTTTTTCCACTAAAGCTGTTCTCAGGTGTGAACAAGAACCCTAAAAAACTTTGGCTGATACACATTTTATATTTTTGTGTCTTTTGTTCATATTGTTGGTACAAAGATAATGACATTCTCTTCTTATGGCAATTATATTTTATCTATCTATCTATCTATCTATCTATCTATCTATCTATCTATCTATCTGTATTTTAAAGAGACCAGGTCTTTCTTTCTGTTGCCTAGGCTGGAGTGCAGCATTGCAGTCGTAGCTAACTTGCAGCCTTGAACTACTGAGCTCAAGGGATCTTCCTGTTTCAGCCTTCTAAGTAAATAGGACTACAAGTGTGTGGCACCATACCTAGCTAATTAAAACAGTTTTGTTTTTTTTTTTTTGTAGAGTGGGGTCTCACTATGTTGCCCAGGTTGGGCTTGAACTCCTGGTCTCAAGCAGTCCTCCCGCCTGAGCCTCCCAAAGTGGTAAGATTACAGGCCTGAGTTACTGCACCCAGCCTGATTTGTGGTATATTTAAACAAATAAATGTATATTTATTTGAACTATCAAATTATAATTGAACTGTCAAAAAATTTCTGGGCTACAAGTTGGGATACGAGAAGAGTGATGAGGATTTCATACCATTTTTCCTACTGAAGCCTCAAATGTACAAGAAACATCAAAATGGTTTGAGTTTTAAATGACTTTTAAATTCCTGGTAATACCTATTCTATTCAGAGATCTTTGTGTCTTACGTTGAATTTCCAGAGGTGGCCCCTGAGATGAAAATTCATGTGAAAGTACAGTAGTTCCCCCTCATCCATGGGGATTACCTTCCTTGTGGGATATTCCAAGACCCCCAGTGGATACCTGAAACTGCAGACAGAATCCTACATATAATATGCTTCTCCCTATGCATACATACCTAATATTAAATTTAATCTGTAAATTAGGCACAGTCAAGAGATTAACAATGATAACTAATAATAAAATAACAACACACCAGCATTACTATCCTTACACCTTGGGGCCGTTATTTTTATTTTATTTTATTTTTAAAGATGGGGTTTCACCATGATGGCCAGGCTGGTCTTGAACTCCTGACCTCAGGTGATCCACCCACCTCGGCCTCCCAAAGTGCTAGGATTACAGGCGTGAGCCACCGCACCCGTCCAGGGCCATTATTAAGTAAAATAAGGATGACCTGAACACAAGCCTCGCGACACGGAGAGTTGATCTGAAAACTGAGTCGACATCTAAGTGGCTAATGGATGGTAGTTGCATCTATACTATGATACAGTGGATAAAGGGAGGATTCATCTCTCAGGTGGGATAGAGCAGGATGGCTTGAGATTTCATCTCACCACTCAGAACGGCATGCAATTTAAAACTTACAGATTTTTTATTTCTGGATTTTTTATTTAATATTTTCAGACCTAAGTTGACTGCCAGTAACTGAAACTGCAGAAGATTAAACCTCAGATAAGGGAAGACTAGTGTAGTCTATCAGGAAATAGCTCCGGAAGAAACTAGCAGCAGGGTGGGAGGTAGGAGAGGGAAGGGAAGGTCAAGCCAGGGTGTGTTATCAGAGTCCCACAGAGTCTAACTCTTAACTCTGAGGAAGATCACCCTGACTAGGGCAAGGGTTAAGAATAGATCCCAGGGCGGGTGTGATGGCTGATGCCTATAATCCCAGCACTTTGGGAGATCAAGGCAGTAGGATGGTTTGAGTCCAGGAGTTTGAGACCAGCCTGGGCAACAAAGTGAGACCCCCCCTGTCCACTCCCATCTCTACAAAAAATAAAAACAATTACCTGGGAGTGGTGGCACTCACCTATCATCCCAACTACTAGGAAGGCTGAAGCAGGAGGATTCCTTGAGCCCAGGAGTTTGTGCCACTGCCCTCCAGCTTGGATGACAGAGCAAGATCTTGTCTAAAAAAAAAAAAAAAAATTGTAGGAGACAGCACTTCTGGCTCTAGGGCCAACAGTTTTGGCAGCCTGAGAGCAGTTTTGTGATAAAAAGAGCTGCAATTACTGGCTGGGGAACGGCAGCATATTGAGAGAGGGTGCTGTGGGCAAAAGAGATCTCACGTGCTGTGGGTGGAGCATAAACAGCAAGTTGGGAGAACAGCTAAAGCTAATGTAGGCAAAGGGGTATCTCAGTTAAGACTGCATTTGGCTGCATGTAACAGAAATCTGACCCAATGCGTAACCAAAAGAGTTTACGTTCCCAGTATATCAAGAAGTTCACAGATCAGCAGTCCAGGATTCATATAACAGCTTCCCCATGTTATCTGTCAACAACACACCAGCTCCACTTGGCTTGTTGCTGTGTGATTGTGAGATGGCTCTACTGCCTCCAGCCTCGCATCCGCATTCCTGGCAGGAAGAAGAGGAACAGAACAGAAAAGGCTGTATGTCTGTTAGGAAAGCAAATATTTTCCAGAAATCTCTAGCAGCAGGCTTCTGGTTTCTTTCCCATTGGCCATAACCAAATCATATAATTACCTTTAGACGTAAGGAATTCTGGGAAGGTGGCACATGGCTCCCCTGAAAAGAATAACTTTTTTCTTCGCTTTCTTTTTTTTTTTTTTTTAACGAAGATGAGAGAATGGGCAATGACTGGGCATACAGTGGTGCCTACCCAATAGGGGATTTGTTTTTTTTCTTAGTAAAAATATAATAGTAGGCCTTGGGAGCTTCCTAAGACAAGATTTAAATATAGACAGCTTGGATATCTGAGGGCTGGTGCCAGAACTGGCCAATGAGGAATTCAGGTAGGGCTGGTTTATGGGCAGTGACCTGTACAGTTGCACAGGGCCCAGGGTGTGGAAGGCCCTATGTTTGGTTTCATGCTATGCTGTCACTGAGCATTCAAATTCTGTCTTGGGACTTGTGTTATTAAGTCTGATGGGACAATGGAGCACGCATGTGAGCAGAGAAGATACATGAAGTGTCAGCACCCACCCTTGTTGATTCAGGCTTGCGGCAGAGCACGCAATGAGCAGCGTGCATGCCAAGCAGTTAGCTCAGCTGCACAGGCCAGGATATAGGTCCTGGGCCCAGATTGGTGGTGGTGATGATGGTGATAGCAGCAGCAGAAGCAGAAACTGTGGAGACAGCAGCCATAGCCCTGGAGAAAGGAGAAGCTTCCCATGAAGGCAGTGCTAGGATTCGTGTTGGGAAGTCACTTTGTTGGTCTATCCCGGGAGCCCATTCCCGTGGCATCTCCACAGATCGTGACTTCTTGACTAGAAACTGCTGGCTGTCAGGCAGACAGACTTTGTCAGTAAATTATTACAAAAATAAAAATGTTCACGTAGATATTACAATAAAACCTGTTGGGGAGTTATTAGGATTCTTCAGAATTTAGAATCCCTGGTTTTGGAAACTACCACAACATTGCAAAACAAATTTTCACAAGCTTAGGAACAGAAATGAAATTTAAAGACAATCTCATTTGATTAAAAAACCCCAATGTTTTCATATAAACCAATGGATGAATCAATTATTGATGAAGAAGACATTTAAAATTAAATTTTCTCTTATAATTAAAGATACAGTGATAGAGTGCATAAACAGCTGTTGCATTTTAAACAAATCCTAAAGCCAGTTTCTTGTAAAACCTCCACAAGCTACAGAAAATGTAAGAGGAAATAAAATGCCATTGCACAAATTTGCATTTAAAATAAAATTCAGACTTACATGAAACTGGTTTGTATGAAGAGTTAAGATTTTTTAGAAAAATTATTCTATAAGAATTGTCAGCTCTTGATGTATGAATATGTATAATTTATCAGAAATTTATCCCAATATCATCACAGCCTATAAAATACTCCTAACAGCTTCAGTAACATTCATATCAGCAGAAAGATCCTCCTTAAAATTAAAGTGACCAAATTTATTTGCAATCTTGCATATTCCAAGAGCAGCTCATGTGGCTTTCAATTATATCAATTAAAAATAAAGTTGCCAAAAGTATAATTTTTGATGAACTAGCAAACAAATTTGCAGAAGTGAGCCAGAAAAATCTCATGATCAATCAAGATATCACACTAATAAAGTACAGACGGCCCTCTGTATCTTTGGGCTCTGTGTCCACAGATTCAACCAACCAAGAATAGAAAACATTCAGAAAAGAAAAAACAGTAAAAAATAACAATACCACAATAAAAAATTTAAAAACCACGTAAAAAAACAATAAAAGATAACAATATCACAATAAAAAATAAAAAACACAAAAAACCAATAAAAATAACAATACCACAATAACTAATACACACTAAAAAATATAATATGACAACGATTTACATAGCATTTACATTGTATTAAGTATTATAAGTAATCTAGAGAGTATTTAAAGTATACGGGAGGACATATGTAGGTTGTATGCAAGTACTATGCCATTTTATATAAGAGACTTAAGCGTCCGAGAATTTTAGTATCCAAGGGGGTTCCTGGAACTGATTCCCCTTGGATACCAAGGGATGACTGTATTGGTAGTGGTGGTAGCAGTGGTATTGTTACAAAAATGAGAGAAGAAACTCATAGAAGAGAAATAATAAATATTTATTATGTAAGCTTAGGACACCCAAAATATTTTCTTCAATTCGTAATTCTATGTTGTTCCCTATGTATCACTATTACCCTTTGTTATGGACTGAACTGTGGTCACCCAAGAGTCATATGTTGAATCCTTAATCCCTAACGTGACTGTATTTGGAGATAGAGCCTTTAAGGAGGTCATTAAGGTTAAATGAGGCCTTAAAGGTGGACCCTGATTCAATAGCACTGGTGTCCTAATAAGAAGAGGAAGAGACCCAGAGAGGGTGCTCACTCAGCAAGCACCAGGAAAGACCATGGGAAGACGCAGTGAGAAGGTGGTTGTCCGCAAGCCAGGAAGAGAGCCCTCAGCAGAAACCAATGATCCAGGCCCCTTCCTCTTAAACTTTGAGCGGCTAGAACTGTGAGAAAATCAATGTCTGTTGTTTAAGCCACCATCTGTGGTACTTTATGACAATGCAAGCTAACTAATATGAATACCCTTATTACATTTTATAAATAAAAAATATTTTTAATGAAAACATCTTTATATTTTAGTACCTTTAACGACATGTTCCTCTTACTTTTAAAAAGGGACTTGACATTTTCATTTTGCACTGGGCCCCACAAATTACACAGGCGACTGTACAACTGTACTCTGAATTGAGGTCACACTCTGCCTCCACAAGGGCTCAGAGCAGTGTTTCCCCACTTCTCTCTGCATCCTGTCTCTCTGGATCAGCTGCTTCCACCCTGACTTAACTACTTGGCATCCATCCACTAATTCTGTCTCCATTTCTGAGAGAAAGAATCGAATTGGCTTAGCCTAGCCAATTTGCATTTGCTGGTCCAGGGTCAGGTGTCCTGCCGTTCCATTGCGCTGAGGCCACACAGGTGTACCTGGCTATCCAGGCCCACATTTGCTGGGGCTCAGGTGGAAGGCAGTTTCAGAGGAGCTGGCATGGACTGGGCTTGTATTTCCAACTGAGACGCTTACGCTTTCATAGAGGCTTGCCTGGCTTGGATGTTCCGCTTCCTCTTACAAGGTGTTCCACAGCTTCACTCCGAGAAATAAATACAACCAATCACAGCTTAAAAAGCAGAAACCAACACTCTGTTCTCAGAAGTATCTCAGGGTTGTCTTGCTCAGCTTTCCCTTGGCAAAGAAGCCATTAAGAACAGGACTGGGGGAGGGAGATTTTCACAGCATAATGCAAGTGCCCATAGGTTTTTGTTAAGGGTTCTCTAAACTCATTTTAGCATGGATTTTTGACATCCTGTCTCAATTAATGTTAAACCATGCTTCAAAAAAGTTAAACAGCAACACTTTGGGAAGATGAGGTGGGCAGATCACCTAAGGTTAGGAGTTTGAGACCAGCCTGGCCAACATGGTGAAACCCGGTCTCTCCTAAAAATGCAAAAGAATTAGCTCCAGCTGTGGTGGCACGCACCTGTAATTCCAGCTACTACAGAGGCTGAGGCACAAGAATCGCTTGAACCTGGGAGGCGGAGGTTGGAGGGAGCTGGGATCTCACTACTGCACTCCAGCAAGATTCTGTCCCCCTGTCCCCCTAAAAAAGTTAAGCAGCAGAGATATAAATAAAAATAGAAATATTCATATTTTCTACCAAGACAAATTTTAAAAACACACTTTTGGTAAGAAATCACATTTATTATTAAAAAGTAGTGGAAGCAAGACTCGATATACATTTTCAGAAGCAAATTTGAAAGATTACTGTTGAAATAAAAGGAGAAATTAAAATCACTGACTACTAAAATACTTTATATAGTAACACCTTAGTTACCTAGAAGCCAGACTTAAGGGCAACTTCTGCAATCTGGAATATAGTGATGGAACTAAGTTCCCAGAGGCACTGAAACAGTTTTCACAAAATCAGTTCACTGAAGCTCATTTGTTTTAGTTGTAGAAGAGGGACTCAGTCAGAGCCTAGTCACCCTTACTATTCAATGTCTAAATAACTTTGATTATCCAGTTTACCACCCACAGCAGATTAAAACCAACAAATTACTAGCGTAGCAGGGTGCTGCTAAAATATAGAGTGATTATTGACATCAGGGAGGAAACCGAAAAGGAGGAACTGTAGAACCAGTTTGGAGATATTCAATGTATACGTGTGTCCATGTACCTTTCTCACATTCCTTTAATTAGCGTAGGCTGAATGCCAGCTATTAGCCTATGACTGTGCTAGGTGCACAGGATACAGAGATTAAGGACTCAGTGTCTGCCCTCAAAGGCTTCTAATCTAGCAGAAAGGTTGACAAATAAAAAGGCAATTACAATATAGCGTGGAGAATGATTAAGTGCCTGATTTGGCTAAATCAGAATATAAGCTAAAGTGCATTTCAAGAATTTCGGTAAGACATCTGAAACCCCAAACTAAGACCGGGATAGTGGGGAATGCAGAAATGTGTCATACTTGAAAGATGAAGGAGGTAGAATTCGAACTGCAAGATGATGGATTGAGATGATGGGTGAGGGAGAAGGAAGAGTCCAGGATGCCACTCAGATTCTGGCTGTTGTGAAGACAGAGTTAGAGGCTCCAGTCTCTCCAGAGGGCATCAGCTCATTACAGCTGACATTTTAAATGAAGACTTGGGGATCACTGACAAAAGGTCAGAGCAGTACGAAATGTGTTTAGCAGTGACTTTCTCTGCTGGCGAAGAAAACACCTCATCTTAAATGACTAGTAAACGGAGGAGGTTTTGGAAGTTCCTTGAGGGCAGGGCACCCAGCATTTATCCTTACGCCCCCAGTACCCCAATACAGTAGATGCTTCGTAACAATGTCTTTACTGGATTTATAGAAACCGATTTAGATCATCTTGACCTTTTCTAGTTATTTCCCTTAAGGGTGTAAGATAAAACTGAGGAAATTTATAGATGCCTTCGGTCCTTGAGCAGATAATGGTTGGCTCTAGACATATTTCTCTTTCAAAAAGGATTTTTCTTAAGAGAATTGAAAAGTCCATGTTGTCTTACTGAATCAGATCTTCAGAGCCTGCCAAGCAGCCTTTCCATCTCTTCAGGTTTTCAGCTGCTTTGAGAGTAGCAGACACCCATTAGCTTCCTGACTGGCTCCGGGGTGCGGAGAGGGGCTAGTGGTGGCACCTCAGGGCACCAGAGCAGCCCTCTGTCCCCACAGGCACTCTGCATGCTGACAGGTCCGGAAAAGAACTGCCATACCCTGAAGAAAAGGAAGCTTCTTTCAGCTGACCTCAGGGATTAAAATGTCCCATGAAACCTTGTAGACCCCTAGAAGGTTCCTCAGGGGCTTCTGCTGGAAAAAAAGCTTGAGAGGCAATTTGTAAACAATTAAGTCATGATGCACTTAAAAAGAAAAGCTCAGAAGTAGGTCACAATTGGACAGGGGGAAAGAACAGTCTAGATGTGTTGTGATGCTTCTCAGAAACTGTTTTCATGATTTTTATCACCAACATCTATTGGAGCAATTTTTTTTAATTTGAATATTTGATTTTCAAAGCTAAAGCCTGAGAAATTTTATCTTTTATCTAACAGCTGTGAGTCATGGTTTATACATCTTGGGTTTTTCTCAGCTTTAAAATCTCAGTTGGCCGTGAAGTAGGGGAAAAAAAAAAAAAAAAACAAAATAATCAAATTGCACAAGGAAAACCAGCTTCCAAAAACACTCCCAAGAAAGTTCCTTCTTGCATATGAAAGATACGTTATTATATCAGATTGCCAAATTTGTGAGCTTGAATAGCAGATGTTCTCATTACAAAATCTCTAATTAAGATGAAAACGGTGGTGCAGGGGGTAGGTGCTGGAACTAATACTAAACCGGGCAGTGGGCCTTCTGGGTGGAGATTTACGTCCTATGCTGGAGGAGGCATGGTTGTGTACGAGAAAATTATTTTGAATTTTCCCGCAGCAGCTGTGATTTTCTGCAAACTCGAACCTGAGGTGAGCTACTTCCATTTCAGCCACCTCTTTATGGGGTGATCACTCTAGAAGCATTTATCCGGTATGGGGGCCAAGACTCCCTGTAAGGGGGAGGCAGACGCGGGAGGAACCCGTCTGGAGGGATGGAATTCTCATTGTTATATGTAAAATTTTCAGTGCCACAAAAGAAGTAGCACTGGAATATAAATTTCCTTAGCAAGGCAGTTTACTTCTACAGAAGGGTGCAGCTCACAGGAACAATGGCGAGTTCACACCTGGACGAGGGAGGGGAAGGGGTACTTATTCTTAACAGAGGTCACCCCTAAGGCTGTGTCATTCCCCTATCGGCTAGGGTTAGAGGCACAGTCTACTATGATTCCGATTGGGTATTTTAAAGGTGGGGTGGGGGGTACAAGCCGGAGTGGTAGAGTGGGTAGTTTGACGGGAAGGACGGCTTCGGGCAGGTCAGAGCAGGTAACCAGGGGTCAAAGCGGGTGACTGGAATGAGTCAAAACAGAGGCGGGGGTGGGGGGGTGACAGATGTGAACTACTGATTAGAACTGGTGGAAAAGATTATTTGCTGAAACTACAAGGAAATTTTAAAATAGAGAATTAAAGAATAAGAGAGCTGAACATACCGACATACTGACTCTTTGAAGAGAAACTTGGAGTTCTCTGTATCTGACATCAGCACCTCTCCCTGGCCTTGCTGCCTCCAACCAGGGGCCATGGTGACTATGAAGGGACGCAGTCAGCCCAAAGCCACCCTGGGAAGGTGTGGCCTGCAGCCTGGCAGAACGGGTAGAAGGCTGCACCGGGCACAAGGAGTAACCCTACTCGGTTTCTCAACGCAAGCGGGGAGGGGGGCTGCTAATGCAAAGCTCTCAGTTAAGAACCGGTCCTGGCCCTCCGCGGAGGTTCATGAAGAAATTGGACAGACTTTCCTGGCAAGACTGTGGGATCAGATTCAGCCATTTTTAGATGTAAATGACTGGCATTGCCTGCAGCATTTCAAGGAAGACGTGACTGCTGTGCGCTGCCGCCCTCCGCTCGGCTCCCCTGCACTTTCCCACCCACCTCGGCTGCGCTGATCTGCAGACGCGCGCGGGGAAAGGCATGCGCGATGCTTTTCCACCAGCTCCGAGGGCGCCGCTCCCTGGGAACTCGCTCCGGGTTCCGAACCCGAGAGCAGAGCAGAGGGAAGCGCATTTGCTGTGGATGCAAGGATGGCCTGAGCAGCTCCGTAGTGGAGGGCAATGAACGCACTGAAACTCCTGAGCCTTCTCTGCCAAACATGTGCCGGGTGTGTGCATTCTGAAATTTTACTGGGGTTCCCAAAATTTAATTCTGAGGCGTTGCCTTCCATACTTTCCCTGAAGATACAGATATGACCCAGAAATATTTGTTTACTAACTCCCTCTCCCATCAGATATGTAGGGTCTTTATAAAATCCTTGTAAACTTTGAAATTTTAATGATTTTTATTCTGCATATCATGGGCCTCAAATAGTACTTAAAAGGCAAGCTTGAAGGTTGAGACATTTGTTTATACAATTGCACATTTGTATTTCGGATTCTATACAAACAAAAACGGCTTCCATAAATGAGCATGTTTTCTTATCTAACGGTATTAAAATATTTTAAAAATCCACACACCACTTGCAGCTACCGGAGTTTCCTTTGGTTCTTTTAAACAATTAAAATTAAAGTATAATGGCTCACAGGTTGTATGAGCTTCCTTTTCTGTGACTGGGTTGAAGAGCTTTTATCCTTACCGACACTAGTTTTATTGTTCCTTAATTTCAGCTAGATAGACATCTTATGGAATTATTCATCTTCAGCTGTATTCATTGGGTTTTACTTCCTCGTTTCCAATGCATTTTGAATGTTCCCATCTGAGCTTATATGCTGTGCCTGTTCTTAATAACACTGTTGGAAAGATACTGTTCATTGAATTCTCACCATTCCATCCTAATTACTTTTTCTTTGAGACTTTGGTCTTTAAGATACAATAGCCCAGAGGCCTCTCTGATCCTGAGGGTGGTTCCAGTAACAGAGCAAATGTGCTCATAATAAAATTTCCACATTTTTCTTTAAAAAATACTTTTAAAATGTCACAAGTAATATATATCCATGATGAAAACTGAAAACAGGTAAGCAGAAATAAAAGCGTTGCACTTATACATACATGTTTATAAATATGAATTTATAAAAATGTATGTATATTTATAAAACTGTGATACATTCCATTTTAAAAATATTTTTCTGCTTAATAGAGCATGAATGTTTTTCTTTATTCTAACGGCTACTTCATTTTGCCCATACAGAGGTAATCAAATTAATTCAATTAATTCTTTGTTGTTGGAGATGCAAATCACTGAAAATATTTGCTATTGGAAATACAGTGATGGACTTATTATATTCTTGTGCATATGCCCAATTATTTTTATGAAATAAATTTTCTGGGACCCATTTTCATTTTGACCAGAGCTTTAACTCATGGCTTCAATCATCAACCTGCCCGCTTCAATGGGAACTGATTTTGCCGATACAGAAGATAGTATTGCCTCTACTGGGTTCTTCATATTAGTTCCTCTGACTTGAGTCTTCTTACAGTCTCTCTGAAAATTTCTCACTTTGGGTTTTCGATTCCTTTACTAGAGACTATATGGAACGTAGCCAAAGTTGCCTTTATAATTTCCCCATTTCCTCCTGTCTTTCAACATCCTTCCTCTGCCTTCTCTTTAAATGCCTACAAATCTAGGCATGGCTCTGTTCTTGACTTCCCTCCTTTGTAGTCTATGCTCTCCCTTAGCTAGTTTGTCCTCTGATTCTATTTATGAGAATGAGTCATTCTTAAACTCTATCCTTTTCCCCGGTTTTTTGATTTGTATTCCCATATAGTCCTTGGCATCTTCCCACAACAGTAGCGCAAGTATCTTAAAGTTAGTATTCCTCAGACTCAGTGCTTTATTCCAAACTCCCAGCAAAACAAGAACAAATAAAAATAAAAAACAAAACCAACCCCACCTCCCAAACAAACTAACTCATTTTCTTCTTCTATATTCTCTCTTTTAAAGTTGAAGGTGCCTACTGATCATCCAGATTCAGGTTGAATAGACATTTATCGACTATATCAAGTCATATCAGTCTCCTGCTTAAAATTCTCTAGTGGCTCCCCATTGCCATTAAAGTGTGACTCAATCTCCTTCCATCAGGCTTCTGTGATCAGGCCTCTGTCTGCCTCCTGCCCGATCTTCTCCCAGCTCCTCCTGCCTCTCTCTGACCAGCTGCCTGCTTTCTGACCTTCTCTTACAAGTGCATGTGCATCTCAGAGACTTAGCATTGCTCTTCCTTTGGCCAGAACCCCTTTTTGAATTATGTATTTGGTGTCGTAACTAATAACTCATTGCCAACCCAAGATCACTTAAATTTTCTGCTATATGCTTTTCTTTTGGAAGTTTTATAGTTTTGAATTTCACATTTAGTCTATGATCCATTTTAAGTTAATTTTTTATGAAAGGTAAGTCTTTGTCTAGATTTTTTTTTTTTTTTTTTTTTTGCATTATCCAATTGTTGCAGCACCATTTGTGGAATGTTCAACCCTTTCTCCATTAAATTACCTTTGGGCCTTTGTCAAAGATAGTTGATTATTGTGCGGATCTGTTTTTGAGGACTAATTAACGTAATTTTAAAGATTCCTTTATTCAGACGTTCTACCAGCAAGTATTTCATTGAGCAACTACTATACCATCAGTACTGTTTTAGGTAATGAGAACATCAGTGAAAAACAAAACGAAATCTCTGCCTTCATGGAGTTTACATTCTAGAAGTCAGGTGATGTATTACTATGTGAATAATTTCAGAGTTATTCGCATTTCTTTCCCAGCTAAGGACAGCACGCACTTCGATGCGTCACTGTCTTTCTCAGGCTTTCCATGCACTTGTTTGCTCATCATAGTTTTGAGCTGGCTGCGATGGGGAGATGAAGACATTTCCTTTCCCTCCTACGTCTTTTGACTTTACTTTCACTTTTTCTATTTAACAAAAAAGTGCAATAATATAAGTCTTAGATTTAGGCACACCTGAGAAATTAAGTGCAGTAAGAAATGAGATATTGGCTAAGTTATATTTCAGAACGTACTTTGATACTTCCAGCAAAGAAACCTCTATTATAATGATAATTGCCTCTGGGGTTTTCTGAGCAACTGGGATATGACCAGATAACATTTATTTTGATTGAAAGGAGATAACAGGCAATGTTTTAAAAGTGTAAACCTAATGTTTATTTACACCTCTCTGATGCATAGTTGTTCTAATAATGTTCAGTCCTGGTCTAGGAGTCAGAAAGAGATTTGTGGAAACAAGTTAGCTTTTGAGCCTTATTTTTACAGTATTTCCTTTTCTGGCAACCCAAAAACTTCACTAAGGAAAAAAAAAGAAGTAAAAGGGACTTGCTTAAGCATTATGGCCATGAAAAAGGGAGAGGGGAAGATGACATTTCTAGACTCAAACTCATTTTTTATAAGGATGAGAGCTCAGACTTGTCAGTCTGGTGCTGAGTCCTCAGGTGGGAACTTCTGGGTTCCTGTGTGTCCCATTCAAGGATGGTATATTTGTCTATTTTAGCACTGCTGGTAAAGACATACCCGAAACTGGGAACAAAAAGAAGTTTAATTGGACTTACGGTTCCACATGGCTGGGAAGGCCTCAGAATCACGACAGGAGGTGAAGGACACTTCTCACATGGTGGCAGCAAGAGACAAATGAGGAGAAGCAAAAGCAGAAACTCTTGTAAACCCATCAGATCTCAGGAGACTTATTCACTATCACAAGAATAGCACGGAAAAGACCAGCCCCAATAATTCAATGACCACCCCCTGGGTCCCTCCCACAACGCATGGGAATTCTGGAAGATAAAACTGAAGTTGATATTTGAATGGGGACAGGTGACACAGCCAAACCATGTCAGATGAGTATTTACTTGGCTCCTCTTTGATATACACAAAGGGCAAGTCTGTGGCAGTATATGAAAACCAGAGAATGAGTTGCAAGCTAGTCAATTGCATGGAAGAAAAAGGAGGAAAGAAGAATGATTTCAAGCATTGTTTTCTCATACTTCATATTAGGCATTTAAAAGTGAAAGGGACTTCAGAGATCATCTTAACCCGACTCCCAACACTGTGGGGGAATCTGTCTACAAAAGCTGTAGCAGAAACCAGCATGTACTTGAACCTTTCCAGTGATAGGAAACCCAGTACCTCAGAACTGCCACTTAATTATCAAACTGAACTCTGCCTTCCAGAGACTCCCAAATATGTGCCCTAATTCATTCTCTGAAGCAACAGACATATATACATAATGTCCTCATTTGTAAGAAAGTCTTTTGCATATGGTTATCAGGGGTTCACTAAGTCCTGGATTCTTTCTCTCCGTACTTCCCCTTATGTCTTGGCTTCTAGACTTTTTAAAGTTGTTTTCTGGTTGGCTAAAGTGCTTGTTAAATGTGCCACTCAAAATGAACATAACACGACTGGCTTGAGCTAAGGGTTTAGTTGATGTGGATTGCTAACAAGAAACATTTTTTTTTTTTTTTTTTCCCAAAACAGAGTCTTGCTCTGCTGCCCAGGTTGGAAGGCAATGGCACGATCATGGCTCACTGCAGCCTTGCCCCTGGGCTTAAGCCATCCTGCCACCTCAGCCTTTTGAGTAGCTGGGATCGCAGATACTCGCCACCATACCCAGTTAATGTTTTTGAATTTTAAGTAGAGACAGGGTCTTGTTAGTTGCCCAGTCTGGTCTCCAACTCCTGGGCTCAAGTGATCTTCCCACCTTGGACCTCCCAAAGTGCTAGGATTACAGGCATGAGCCCGTGCCCAGCCAAGAAACACCTTAATTTTACTTAATTATAATTCTGATTGTATGAATATCTTACCTATGGTTCTGTTTATGCCCATTTTTTCTCCCAGAAGTTAAATGTTTAAAGTTCCTCATTATGCCCGGATTAAAAATGTTTCTATGTGAAGGTGTTGTTTAAATTTGTCATTTCACAATATTTCATTTTGGAAGCTGGTGGCAACAAGCTGGCAGGAAACATGGGCTTTAGGAAAGGCAAACACACTCTATTTGCTAATGGTCACTAAGCGATCGTAACCAAGGCAAGGTTATTACAGAAAGGAACAGTCAGCTGAAGTATAAAGGCGGAGTGTTTGAAAATCCTAACCCTTCATCCCTGCATGCTAAAATCAGCTAACAGAGATAAACTATTAGCTGCTTCTTTAAAAATGGATTTGTTTACACCATGTAATTTTTATCAGTGGGACAGCCCGTTTGCCTGCCTGAGATCTTATTACTTATTAATGTATTATTACCTGTGAGTAAGAAAAAGGTGCTTGCATTTCAGACGTTTGTGGGAATCACTTGTCCTTCTCATTTCCTATCAGGGTTCAGGTATTTGTTTCTTTTGAATAATGACAGTTCTCAGTAAAACTCAGATTTTTTTTTTTTTCTTTGAGATGGAGTTTTGCTCTTGTTGCTTGGGCTGGAGTGCAATGGCGCGATCTCCACTCACCACAACCTCCACCTCCTGGGTTCAAGAGATTCTCCTGCCTCAGCCTCCCGAGTAGCTGGGATTACAGGCATGTGCTACCACGCCCAGCTGATTTTGTATTTTTAGCAGAGATGGGGTTTCTCCATTTTGGTCAGGCTGGTCTCGAACTCCAGACCTCAGGTGATTGGCCTGCTTCGGCCTCCCAAAGTGCTGGGATTACAGGTGTGAGCCCCCGCACCAGCCTAAAGCTAAGGTTTTAAGCTCATGCCCTTCTACACAGAATCTAAAATAATCTGTCAACAGCTCTTTCCTGTTGAGAATTTTAGACTTAGTAAAAAGTTTGCAAACTAAGAAGTTTTAGAAACAGAATATAACCATTAATAAACTTGTTTCTGAATTCCAAGGGAAAATGTATGACAGCCCTCATAATTTCAAGTGCCTTGACCAATGTCACAAAGCTAATATTGATTATGGAAGCCATGAGTATGACACTAAAATTCAGGGGCTTGGGGATTCCATTGTTTTTTGCTTAATTAAATATACATACATTAGGGCATGTATACTATACATGCTCAGTCTAAACAAGAATAACCAAAGGAAAACTCTTCTTTTCACCGCCATTTAAGGAGATCATTACCAATTCCAACGTGAGCTCTGTTTTTGGTTCCCAACGGGGAACCACAGTCTTAGACTTTTAGTCATTGCCTTGTCTTACCGCATGTATATGTATCCCTAAACAATATAGTGTTCAGTTTTCTATGTTTGGGAATTTTATACAAGTGGAATTATCCTCTCTGTGTTCTTTCAGCAATCACTCTTTTTGTTCAATATTATGTTTGTAAGATTCATTAATGTTATTCTGTGAAGTTGTAGTTCATTTTTGAAGATTTCTCCTGCTGATAAGCCTTTGTGTTCTTTGCAGATTTTTTTAAAAAAATGAACAATGCTTCTAGGAATGTCCTTATATGTGCTTCTGGTGATGTTTTTATTGCTGACACTTACTGAGCACTTATTTTGGGTCAGGCACTGTTTTAAGTGCTTCGAATATATTGATTTATTTAAATCTCCTGCAGCCCTCTGAGGCATGAAAAATTATCATCTTCATTTCACTGATGAGGGAATTTGCTGCAAAGAGGTTAAGTTGCCTGAGGTGACAAACCTAGGAAGCTACAGAGACCAAGCATCTCAGCTTCAAGAGTCTATCTTTGCAATCAATACCCCATACTGATTCTTCGTTGGCCAATCAATCCCTCCATCAGTCAGTTTGAAAAGTTCTAAGGTGAGTTTCCAGTTGTCCATCTATCCTTTTGTTAATCAAATGCTGGAAAATTCTTTTTAAAGCACAAAGTCAACAAATTTATTAAAGATCCAATACACCACACCTCCTTTTTGGGGGCTTGAGGTTAAAATCTCTATTATTTTTTCCCTCTCATATCAAATATCCTAATGTTTTTGCTTTTCAAACCAATTTCAGAATGGGAAAGAATGGGCTGGCCTGAGTAGAAAGAATAATATGTAAGTAATTTTAACTGTATGAGAACTTTAAGAGCAGAATCTAATTCATATGCCCCTTAAAAGTGAGTTCCACAAACAGGTAAATAACCAATGGTATTTATCCCCATCAGTGTTCATCCGTCTCAGTGGCCTGTGCATAAAAACATAAACATGAGCCATATGTCCATCTTCTGAGTTGGTGGAAAGCCTCCTAGTACCATCTAATCCAGCAAATGACAGACTGAGAAATCTAAGGCAATCTCTTGAGGAGAGTAAGGAAGAAAATGCCTCATCTGCTTTCAGTTGTAGCAAGGAGCCAGAGCTTCAGTTCCTTGGGACAGAAGGAGCCTCCACCCATCAACACAAGCACACCAAAAAGCCCCGCCAAACACCCTAACACACTAGCCCTCACCCCCTCCCTCAAGGGAGTCTTGCATGTAACAATGCTGGAAGAACCTTAATTCACCGGCATGAAAACTGGAAGTGAAAACTAGCTGGAAAATCTGTTAAAGATTAAAACTAGTAGGACTGAAGTTCTGCAGCCACCAAACAGGACAGGGAGGCTGGAGGAACATCAGTCCTGCTGAAATGGTCACAGTAATGGGCTGCATGACCAAGGCTGCCTTCAAGCACATGTCACTGAGGACAGAGGGCTTGGGAGAAGTGGAAGTAGGAACTAAGCCTTCCAATAAAGGATGATACATGACCATAATCGTCATCCAGCCACTTTGGAGAGGTAGTAGTTTTCAGGAGCCTTTCAGCATTGTTACATGCAAGACTCCCTTGAGGGAGGGTGTGAGGGCTAGTGTGTTAGGGTGTTTGGCGGTGCTTTTTGGTGTGCTTGTGTTGATGGGTGGAGGCTCCTTGAAATAGTGTTTTTGAGAGGGATAGTTATCTTTAAAGGACTCACAGTATTTTTGGTTGCTGCTTGGCTAACTCTGTTTTTTTTTATTTTTGAGATGGAGTCCCACTCTGTTGCCCTACCTGAAGTGCAGTGGCGCCATCTTGGCTCACTGAAACCTCCACCTCCTGGGTTCAAGTGGTTCTCCTGCCTCAGCCTCCTGAGTAGCTGGGATTAAGGCATGCACCACCAAGCCTGGCTAATTTTTGTATTTTTAGTAGAGACAGGGTTTCGCCATGTTGGCCAGGTTGATCTCAAATTCCTGAGCTCAAGTGATCTTCCCACCTTGGCCTCCCAAAGTGCTGAGATCACAGGCGTGAGCCACCATGCCCAGCCTAAAACTATTTTAAAGCATTATGTTTGAAAAAATAATTCCCAATCTGCTGTTTCAAATGTTCTAGTTTGAATAAGGTTGGTGCATCATAAACTTAATCTGTAGTTAAAATCACATAGCTACATATTTTTGAGTGAAAGGAGCAAGTTATAAAACAATCCAATATAATCCCCACTTTTGGCAAAAATGTTGGCATACATGCAATGAAAGTATCCAGGAAGTCCTATACCAAGGTTTATTAACTGAGGCATTATTGGCATTTTAGGCTGGATAACTCTTTGTTATGGTAGGATGTTTAGCAGTATTTATTTCTGGCCCTGCCCCACTACATGCCAGCAGCAGCCTCCTCCTCAGTGGTGACAATCAAAAATGTCTCTAGACATTGCCACATATCACCTGGGGAACCAAACTTCCTCCTTTCTCTATTCAAATATGTTTATGGTGGTTAAATCTGGGTGAGAGAATTACAGGTAATTTTCCTTTCTCTCCCCATTTAGTTCTAGGTACTCTACAATGAACATGTATACATATATCTCAATATATGCCTTCTACAATAAAAATAAGAGCTATTATTAAATTACCCATAACCATAGGACTATTTATTTTAAAAATTAGAGGTACATGCTTTTGAGCCAAATCTTGGAAAAAAATCTGTAGATAGAAGGTTTATGGAAGATGTCATGTGGGGAATTAAAAAGAAAATAAAGTTCTTCTAAGATAATTTAGCAAAAATTAATCTGCAAGATGTGGGGGTGGTAATGTGTGGGCTGGAAATAACTTGATTAATGACCCAGTGGTACCCATCCATGACAATGTTTAATGTTCTCATTAGATTCACCAAGCTGGCAGTCTTGTGCTCTGTCTGGGCTGTTCAAATAGTTTTTCTCTGCACTGATTTCCTTCCAGTTGGACTCAGCATGAAGGGCACTAGATCTTTCTCCTGTTATGGGCTCCAGTGACAAGTTCGCTTTGCTCACTTCCTTCTTGAAAGCAAGAGTGGCACTATGTTTCACTCGCTTTGTAGCAGTGGTATTTTCCTTCACCAGATGTTTAGGATTTATGGGGTGTGCCAGTGGAGCTCCTAATAGATGTTTCTTATTTCTATTAAATAAGGAAAACTTAACTAATGTGCAAGTGGTATATAAAATGCTGGGAATAACTGGGGATAGGATGAATAGTATAGTTGCTCCTTGTTATTCATTGGGGATTGGTTCCTTGGTATTCATTGGGGGTCTGGTATCTGAGGATACCAAAATCCATGGATGCTCAAGTCCATGATCTAAAGTGGTGTAGATAAACTACACACATTCTCCCATATACTTTACATCATCTCTAGATTGCTTGTAATGCCCAATAGGCCTAGACTAAACTTCACTTAAATGCATTCAATGTTGTACTCGGTGTGATGCAAATTCAAGGTTCACTTTTTGGAACTTTGTGGACTTTTTTTTTTAATAAATGTTTGATTTGTTATTGGTTGAATCCATGGATGCTGAACCCACAGATACAGAAGGCCAACTGTACTTGTCAGAATCTGAAGCTTCAACTTGTCATCTCTAACTGAACCTCAGGCACAGAGATGGAATCTCAAGTGGACCAGAGGGTGGCTTCTTGGAGATGGTGAGACCTGGCCACAGAAGGAACAGGATGCATGACAGCTGCCTCCCACACATACATGCCGCATCTAAGGAGATGTCACCACCCCCACGAGAAATATCTACTGTATGCTCATGCTTGAATGTGTGTGTGTATACATAGAGATTCAATATATACATATGTTTCAAAGAACTGAAACAACAAAATTAGAGAAATGCTCATATTTCTGACATGCTTAGAATAACAAGAGATGTAAAAGCAACTCAGAATTAGATTCCCCTTTTACAAAGCCAGATAATGTGGCTAAACCACTGACGGATTTCAATCTGAGGGCACAAAGTAGGAAGAAAATTACTATTTACTCTCAGGTAAGAAAAACAGAGTTAGACAAGGTCTGTCTTGAAATCACTATAGTTGTGTGTCTAAATGGCTTTTCTTTCTGGCAGTTAACAGTGGGACCTGGCAGTTAATGATGACAATGACAAACACTTAGGGAGCACTCACTATGTGCCCAGCACAGGTCTAAGTACCATCTACAGTTCAACTCTTTCAATCCTCAAAACAATCCTAACGCAGCTCTTATTTCTATTTCACAGATGAGGACACTGAAGGACATGGTAGGTGCTTAGAAAATATTCTGTGAATGGAATTAATAAGCAGGACTATATCAATCATTTTATTTTTTCTTTTGCTCTTAATAATAATTCATTCTTTCTCACTTTTGAACTACTTTTACAGTTAGCGTAATACATTTGTTCTCCCAAACCAGCAGGATCATTTCTATAAAGATTGAGAAGAACAGAACACTCTGATTAATATAATTACTCTCTAAATTAAACCATTAGATCTGAAACTGTTTGCATCTGTGGGCAATCACAAATGGTCATGACCCCAGAATCCATCTCTCCTACCAGAGTTGTCTGCTTGTACCAAAAATATCAATAAGGAAATGCGGGTGATATCTGTTTTCTTGAAAGAGCATCAATGGATTATGAGTTCATGATTACAACAAGTACATAATAAGGCAAACCATATGAAGTTGCTGTCTGTCAGATTAAAAACAGCCAAATATCAACAATTACATATGGTTCAACTTAATAGATATTGTCCCATTTCAAAGCAGCATGACTGAAGAATTTAATTTTCTTAACAAGTGGTAAAGGAAATGGGAACAGTTACTGGAATTGAACTAGAAAGGTATTGTTTTATGGCACGGTTGAGTTCCCACAGCAAATTATGTCAAGTTTTAATAAACTCTCCCTTACATAGTCATTTAACTTATTTTGCTTGTATGTTCTGTATTTATGAGTTTTAATATCGTAAGAATAGAGGATATTCATTCACAGATATTCCAAAGTCTTTGAACCACTGCCTATTCTAATGTTTGATATTCTAATAGTAACACAGTTACACAGTGCTTTACTGAACACTTCCTATTTATAGACTATGTAAATATCTTTTTGACACATTTCCAGAAATAAATATAATATTCTATTATAATATGTGCCATTTTCTTTTAGGCTAGTTTTGAGAGACAATAAGCCCCTACTAAATTATTGAGAGGACACTTTTCTGACTACAAAAGAATACTCATTTATGTTTATATTCCAGAACTACTCATAAAGTATTAACTAAAGCCTCTTAAAGTAGCCACGAGTGTGTGATATTATGAAGGTCTGTGCCTGATTTATTCATTCTAAACATGAATCATGATGATAGTTGAGGTTTTTACATGTGACCAACTTACCACTGACCTAGTGGTATGTGCCTGTTTTTTTTTTTTTTTTTTTTTTTTTTAGGCAGTTTCACTCTTGTTATCCAGGCTGGAGTGCAATGGCACGATCTCGGCTCACCGCAACCTCCGCCTCCTGGGTTCAGGCGATTCTCCTGCCTCAGCCTCCTAAGTAGCTGGGATTACAGGCATGCGCCACCATGCCCAGCTATTTTTTTGTATTTTTAGTAGAGACAGGGTTTCACCATGTTGACCAGGATGGTCTCGATCGCTTGACCTCGTGATCCACCCGCCTCGGCCTCCCAAAGTGCTGGGATTACAGGCTTGAGCCACCGCGCCCGGCCGGTATGTGCCTGTTTTAAGTATCTCCTCTGGCTCCCAATAAACCCAATTCTGAAAAAGTAGTATTTATAAAATGAATAATCTTTGGGAAATATTTTTTACAGTGCTATGTATACGTGGGACGAACCCAGAAAATAATCGCAGAAGTGTGTCTGTTTGAAAATAATAAACAAAGAGGCCAGAGTATGCCCACCTGAATAAATTCTGCACCCAGTCTGGCAAACATTTATGGACTGCTTCCTTTGCATAAAGAAACAGGCTAGCTCCTGCACTCTGGACACCCACCACCATTGTTAAGAGACCTACATGCATGAACCAACCAAATATGTACTATGAGAATAGAGAAAAGAAATAAGTAATTCTCACAGACACTGAAAAACTGCAAAAAAACATCTTTTATCCCAGGTACTTTATTGCTGGGATCAAAGGGGTAACTCACTTGTTTGCAAAGAAGGAGCCTGGCAAAAGGAAGTGGTGGCATCAGCTTTCCATCTGTACAGATAACCCCCATTCCTCCATGAATTGCATGAGATAGGTTTCATTTTCTCCTGGCGGCCTGTCTGGAGCCAGCGCCTCATAGAGTCTAGATAGAAGGCCCTCCTCCCAGAGCCCATTCCCCTCTGAAGGCTCGCAGCCCTCTGAGTCCTGGTCAAAGCTAGACAATGAAGGGATACACAGCCTGCCAGTTTGGGGGTCCCAGTCAACCAGGGTTGTCGATGGCTCTTCCTCTGGACCCTCCTCCGAATCTGTGTGCCCCCATGCCAGAGGGTCTAAGTCTCGGAGCTGAGGGCTGTATGAGTACTGTAATGTTTGCAGACCCAAGACTGCCAGTGCTGCCTGTGAGTCAAATAATCTTCCTTGCCTGGACACCTCCTCTTGCAAACTGAGCTCCTGCTCTTCAGGCCCTGCACAGATGTCAGTGGTTCTTACATCATATTCATATTCGATGACTGTTTTATCTGGGGATATTGTTCTGCTGATGGACTCTTCCTGGGTGAGGGAAGTACCTTCCGAGTTTCCTTCAGAGTCACAAAAAAATTCCATCAAATGCGAAGCATATCCTAAATGTTTCACCTCCTCTTCCTCTTGAGGGGGCTCCAGGTTCCTGCTACGCTGAGGATTATTAAGGCTGGATGCATCACTGCTTTTTCCCAGCAAACTTGTATCCTGATGAGAAATTTTAGAATCCTCCGAGATACTGAGGGTGATAAAGTTAATCACGACTTTTTCAGCAGGCACAAAGAATCTTTTGTCAAATTCATTTCCATAAATCAAAATCTATAAAGAGAAAAGAGAATGGTTTTCACCTTTTCACTTTAGAGAGACATTAAAAACAGCTGTTAGGTAGAATATCTTGTCACCAGATAGTTTTAAAGACCTACTCTTACCAACTCATGTACATGAAAGTTATGCTTGCAATATACAGAAAACCTCACTCACTGGGAGTAGAAGCTTAAAGAGACTATATAAAGACACACAAAAGGCACATGGAACCGGAAGTGGTTCACTGGGTGGTTACTTCTCCAATCCAAAGCTGGGGCTTGGGGCATTGGTGCCTCCTCTTCTAACTGGCAGGAGAGCGAATTCATTTCTTGACCTTTTTTACATTCTGTAAAGTCAGAATCTCAGCCACATGAAGAGTAGCAAAGACTGAGTATAGCAGAGTTTGTGACATTGTTTTATTTATAGTTTGCTATGTACTTGTTAATAAGCTGTGGTTACCTTGGCTGCCTGCCCTGTTTTTGGATATGTTTGAAATGCAGACAGGCATGAGAACTGGAGGTAGAAAGGGAGGGAAATACACGAGCAGGGATGGTTTTTACCCCTTACACCATTCTTATCATGCTATAATAGGGCGAAAAAAGGAAATTCACCTGCCAGTTTATGGCCGACAGAGACACTCTAAATCATGTCAGGGAAGCTCAGATGAGCTTCAAATATTGCTGTGGGTATCCTAAAAGATGCCTGTTACCTAAGAGAGCATGAGTTACAATCCTCACTGTCGCTCTAGCATGTGATTTCATTTAACTTTACAAAACAGAACCTTTAGCTTCATTCTTTTACATTTTAAGTTTCAACAAAATCACAGGCGGCCAATTCTCCTGTGAATGTTCCTTCCAGAAAAGGTCTCCCAGTGCCATTAAGAAGACAACTCTGAAAGCTGAATGCAGGGAGAATCATAGAAAAACTTAGAAATGGAACTAACAGGAACCAAGGTATGTTATCAGGTACATGTGAATATATCTTTTAATAGTTCCCAAGAAAATAGTTTTGATTGTCAAAAATATGCTCAGCCCTTCAGAACCTTTCAGCACATGGCTGCACCTCCTTGGGTTTATCCTTTCTTCTTACTGTGAAGGATTAAGTCCTGGCCATGTTCCTCCTAAGTGTGTTTCTATTCCACGTCTTTCTCTCTAGCCTGACATCCCGCTCTCGTCTGTTAGACTTCAATCGTCTCTCCCCGGGACAAAGCCATAGCTCCCTGGGTGTTTCTCTTGTTTCTAGTCTTACTTCCCTCCAAGTTGTCTCGGAACTAATATCTGGTTGGATCTAAACCATGATACGGACTCTGACGCTCCTGACTTAAAACCCTATGGAGATTTCTCTTTGCTGGTAGAACGAGGCCGAACTCCTTAGAACAGCAACCCAGTTCTCCCCTTTCTTGGACCGACCTCCCACTCTCCAGTCTCATCTTCTCTAGCTTCTCATCCAGAGCCTCCTGGTTTAGCGATGTCGGGAGTTTCCACACATCCACCCACCATTCCTTTTGCTGTTTCTTCTGCCTGCACTACGGATCCTAACTCCTACTCACCTCTCATAACCAAGCCCTGGCATGAGAACTGAGCCCCCATGTGGGGTTTTGGGGCCCTCCTTGTACCCTCAGAGTTCCCAGTGCCTGCTCTCATCTTAGTCTTCACATATGATTTTGAAATTCTAGTCCCTGACTAGGTTCGAACTTCTAGAAGGGCAGGGATCATGACTGAACTTATCTGTGTACCCCAGGACCTTATTTAATCTGGTCATTAAATAGAAAATCTTTTCAAAGCTAAGGAATCCTTATCTTTCATTCTGTCAGTGAGCTAATCCAGAACGGCTTTTTGTTCATTTGTTTGTTTTTGAGACAGAGTCTCATTCTGTCACCCAGGCTGGAGTGCAGTGGCGCAGTCTTGGCTGGCCGCAATCTTTGCCTCCTGGGTTCAAGTGATTCTCTTTGCCTTAGCCTCCTGAGTAGCTGGGATTAGAGGCATGCATCACCACACTTAACTAATTGTTGCATTTTTAGTGGAGATGGGGTTTCATGCTGTTGGCCAGGCTTGTCTTGAACTCCTGACCTCAAGTGATCTGCCTGCCTCAGCCTCCCAAAGTGCTGGCATTACAGGCGTAAGCCACCATGCCCAGTTCAGAAAGTGTTTTTTAATTCACTAGCTATGTAACTTTAAATTCACTCTTCCCTTAAAGGAAACTGTATCTGTTCTAGAACCTCTTCTTCTGTCCTCCTGGAGGCGTGCTATTATAATAAAGACCCCCGCCACACCAAGCACTCACCAAATTTGCTGGGTGTTTCTCTTCGCCAACGTGGATATATCGGTAGACGGAATAGCCCATCACAGAAAAAAGAAACACGGTAACAGATACGGGCAAAACATACCAGAAAATGATTTTAGCCTTGAACTCTGATGATTGATCTGTTAAAAAAAAATTAGGTGGGAAGTGCGGAGAAGGGGTTAGATTGCTGTGATTTGATGTGGTGGGGAAAAAACTGGCATCGATAAGTGGCTTCTGGGCAGATTATTACATTTGGGAACTCAGTTTTCTCACCTCTATGTTGACAAGCTTAAGCTAAATGTTATAAGGGGTCTCAGAATTCTTACTCTCCCTGACAAGAGATAGTCTGAAGGCATCTGAACTCTCCTCAAATGTTTACACTAAGAATACATCCATCATCCAAGTCAGCACATAATTCTACCATCGTATGTCTGCCTATGAGACTCATGCTGGTTCCTATATTTGAAATTCTATTTGATATTCAGGTAACTTGCAGAACTTCAAACGAGCAACAAAACCCTCCTGTGAAGATCCCATCAAATTGCCTCACTTTTCACGCCACCTGTTGCACTCCCTGTTTCTGCATGTTCACTGGAGGACACTGGTGGCATGGTGCCACCTTTTAGGTGAGTAGCAGAACCATTCTTGCACTGGCTGGCTGGACTTTCTGGGTAGGCTGGAGCCTGGGGATGAGTGTAGGGAGGTGGCTGGATAGGGTACAGTGTGAATGGCAGTTGACTCTCTTCCCAGGCCTGCTGTGCCATAGGTTTATGATGAGTAAAAGCCTGTAGAAGAATGAAAAGACCTGGGAAATAGTTTTAATAAAAGCAGTACTGGCCATATTGGTGATGACCAGAGCTCACTGTGACTAACTCATACTTGTTAAGCCACTATGGTGTACTTGGAAGTTGTGATGGTTAATTTTACATGTCTAGTTGGCTAGGCCACAGTACCTAGATATTTGGGTAAACATTATTCTAGAGCTTTCTGTAGGTTTTTTTTTTTTTTTTTTTTAAATGCGAGACTAACATTTCAATCAGTGGGTTTTTCAGTAAACCAGATTACTATTTATAATGTGGGTGGGCCTCATGCAATCAACTGAAGACTTTAATAAAAAATGTATCGACGACTCCAAAGAACAGGAAATTCTGCCAGCAGCCTACCTTTGGGTGCGAACAGCGAACATCAATTCTTCCATGGGTTTCCAGCCTGCCTATTCTACAAATTTGGACTTGCCAGCCTCTAAAATCCTGTGAGCCAATGCCTTAAAATAAATCAATATTTCTAAACAAATAAATGTATCAATATCTGCATCGATATCTATCCTATTCTTTCTGTTTCTCTGGAGGATCCTGACTGATACAGCAGTAGGAAAAAGAGCAGCTTTAGCACAAATGACAAAAGTCCAAGTGTACTCCTTACAAACTAACAAAACCAGCAGGAGTATGACCGGAGCATTCTAATCCAGGAGAATGTTGGATGCTCTCGATCAGGTATCCCCAAACTATGGCCCACGGGCCACATGCGGCCCCCTGAGGCCATTTATCCGGCCTCTCGCTGCACTTCAGGAAGGGGCATCTCTTTCATTGGTGGTCAGTGAGAGGCGCACAGTATGTGGCGGCCCTCCAACGGTCTGAGGGATAGTGAACTGGCCCCCTGTGTAAAAAGTTTGCGGATTCCTGCTCTTGATGCTTGGGCCCAAGAGAAAGCAGCAAAATCACTATCTGGTTAACTATCCAGTTGAAAGCCTGGAAAGAGATGTGTCATGGCTGATGAGGGTGGTCAGCAACAGCCAGTGAGAAAAGTCCAGCATGCAGGCCTGTTGCCGTGCACAATTCCCAAGGAGCACATTCATGACCAGGTTCTGCACAGAGACGTGCCAGTGTTGCAGTGCAGATGTTGCAGATGTCAGAACACCACCTGCCCTGCTTTTAGGCTACAACTCAGTCCAACCCTCTTCATACAATCCCTGGTCCCTGGATTGAGCCTGTCCTAATTGAAAAGAATCATAACAATGACTGATGGCATTCCATATACACTAGCCCATGTTTACTACAACAAACCCATTAAACTGTACCTGTATTTTAGGCATGGGGGACAAGGGAACAGAAATGTGTTTCAAAGAATAGTCCCAATAAAGGTGCTACTGATGATTCAGAAAGCAGGTCCTCACAACAGTGTGCTGGAAAGATATCTCTGGTGATATAACAGCTGGGATAGCAGGAGTTCAGAACTGTATCTGTTCTAGAACCTCTTCTTCTGTCCTCCTGCAGGTAGGCTATTATAATAAAGACCCCTACCAATAACAATTAACTGTTATTCTGCTAATTGTTCTTTCTTTTTCTTTTCTTTTTTTTTTGAGACAAGGTCTCACTCTGTTGCTCAGGCTGGAGTGCAGTGGCACAATCTCGGCTCACTGTAGGCTCAACTTCCCCAGGCTCAGGTGATCCTCCCATCTCAGTTTTCCAAGTAGCTTGGATTAAAGGTGTATACTACCATATCTGGTTAATTTTTGTATTTTTAGTAGTGATGGGGTATAGGAGATTGGTCAGGGTGGTGGGAAAAATTATAGGAAAGATGCAAACCTTCTTGGAAGGCCAGAAGCTTTTGCAAAAGCTTTGGGAAAGGGTTATAGCTGAATGCAGCCTAATCCTCTTATCTTGAGCTAATAGCAAAGAGCAGATAACAAGGGAATGAATGCAGAGGACTTTATTTAGATAAGTTTGTTTATCTGTTTCTCCATAAACCAACCTTTGATTATCCACAGGCATGACTGCTCTCTACTTGGGGGGGTCAGTGATGTTGATTACCCACAAATGGTGTTTGTTTGCGACCCTTGTCATTAAATCAGTTCTAAAATAAATATGAGCATCTCTGACATACCGGGACTGCATGGCTGGACGCCCTCTTTGGGGTCTGTAAGCCATGGGGTCCCCTAGCCACATTCTCACAGGCAAAACACTTGTGTCTGTGAACTCCTTTCATCCGTTGCTTGGCCAGAGTCTGCAGGTCAGACTTGGCAATGGGGTTTCACCATGTTGCCCAGTTTGGTCTTGAACTCCTGGACTCAAGTGATCCTCCCACCTCAGCCTCCCAAAGTGCTGGTATTACAGGCATGAACCACTGCACTTGGTCCCTTTTTTCATATTAGTGAGAAAGTGGGCTTCATCTGCTTACTGAGAAGTTTTGAATTTAATCTGCATTTTGTTGCTTTTGCTCCAGTTGTGTTCATGATTTCCACTGGAAATGCATTCCCACCAGCCGGCACTGATCAAGGTGTTAGTAAAGAGAGCACTTCTCCCAAATACAAATATGATTTCTTCAAGATGCTTTGTTTTGCTTGGCATTTTAGTTTCATTTGATATATGGTAGAGACTCCTTCAGTGTAAATGAAAAGCTATGATAAAGACAGAGTCAAAAGCAAGGCCTTGCGCTTTTCGCATGTACTCACCAAGTTCCCTTTCTTTACTTTGGGATGGTTTCATCTTGAAAGGTGGGAGGGGTGAGGGAGGAGGAAAGCAGGGATTATGGATTCCTATTCATGGCTGGTGATAGAGCCAAGGCATGCCATGGAGGTCGTGGGCCTCTGTCTCTAGCCCAGCTTTTTTGAAAAGAAGCAGATGAATAATGGATGAAGAGCCCTTTGATGCAGGCAAACTTTAGGATTCATTTTCTTTATATTTTCAAGTTTTGAATTCAAGCTCCTCTCATTCTGAAGGCAGAAAAATTAAACAAATGCCAAGCTCACAACTCTGTATCTCCTCATAGGAATGGGCATCTCTAACCATGGTTCCCTGGCAGCCCAGTTTAGAAAATGTGAGAAGGAAATAAATAAAAGGAAACAGAGAGAAGCAACTGTTAAGGATAAAGAAGTGATCACTGATTTGCTGATCCCAGATCCTCACACAGTCAATCTAGTGGCACTTGAACACAACCGGAAGCACCTATAATTAGTATTTCCCAGGGGAAGTGAAAAATAAATTCTGCTTTACAATGATTTTAGAATAATGCTTTGTTTCCAGTGATAAAATTGTCTGATGTTCTTGGAGATCACAGAACTTCTATTGATTAGACTGATATTGATTTTATTTTTTATTTTTATTTGAGGTAGAGTTTCATTCTTGTTGCCCAGGTGTAATCTCGGCTCACTGCAACCTCTGCCTCCTGGGTTCAAGCGATTCTCCTGCCTCAGCCTCCCAAGTAACTGGGATTACAGGTATATGACCCTATGCCTGGCTAATTCTGTATTTTTAATTCTGGGGTTTCTCTATGTTGGTCAGGCTGGTCTCAGACTCCCCACCTCTGGTGATCCGCCCCCTCGGCTTCCCAAAGTGCTGGGATTACAGGCGTGAGCCACCATGCCTGGCCTAATTTTTTAATTTTTTGAGACAAGGTCTCACTCTGTTGCCCAAGCTGGAGTGCAGTGGTGCAACCAGGGCTCACTATAGCCTCTTCTGGGTTCAGGTGTTCCTCCCACCTCAGCCTCCTGAGTAGCTAGGACTACAGGTGTGCACTACCGTGCCTGGTTTATTTGATTTTCTGTAGAGACGAGGTCTCATTATGTTGCCCAGGCTGGTCTTAAACTCCTGGGCTCAAGTCATCCTCCGTCCTTGGCCTCCCAAAGTGCTGAGATTTCAGGTGTGGGCCACCATGTTCAGCCTGATTATGATTTTAAAGAAGAAAAAGGCCATATGTAAAAGTTTTTCATTGTTATTTCATGAAACAGGTAATGGAGGAACCATGGGAAGATTGCTGGCAGTGGACACAGGACTATATGAGTTCCCCCAGGGGGTGAGAACACTTCTGAATGTCAGCCAAGCTCAATGGCAGAGTCCTAGGCTGTTCCATGCATTTCTGGTGGCAGCTGTTTCTGCCTTTGCCTCAACCTGTTTCCTTCAGATATGGGTTTGCCAAAATCTTGTTTAAACCATCATACTGCCTTCTAGTTTTAGCAGATCTCCTTCCTAGACCAGTGGAGATTTTTTTAAAGCTTACCTTTCAAAGTCCTGGCACACTGCTTCTCAGAAGGCTGAGCACGGCGAGGGGGCCCTGGGACAAAGGACTCCACGTGGACGCAGTACAGTGTGTTCGGCTCCAGCCAGGTGAGCACCAGCGTGTGGTTGGTCACACACTGGGACCACTAGGACAGGGAATTACAGACACTGGTTAGAGCCAGACATTTCTTGGACCACCCCAGACAAAGAATTCCAGAAGGAAATAAAAGAGCAAGCCACCATTGAGTCCTTTACTATCAATATAAGCTTTTTTTATTTTTATTTTTTTCCCCAGCAGCAGTTTCAATATGCTCTTTTTTTTTAGCTCAGCAGAGCATTGTCAGGAACTGGACCAATGCTGGGAACAATTCGAAACAACACATGGATAGAGTTCTTATTCATTGTCCTGGGTCCTTGCTCACATGTTTTTTTTTTTCTTCTCAGAGAAAGACTGCAAATGAAAGCTCTCCATCAAAGTGAGTGCACAATCTCCTGCACTCCAATAGCAACACCATATCCTGTTAACAGAATTTCTGTACAGATCTGAAGTTAGTTCTGTAAAATTTCTATGTATCAGCTTCAGCTGTGTCTTGTGCAGCATATCTTTTGAATATCACGTCTCCCCGGAGTCACACGCAGAGAATCAAAGCATCAGGGCCGTTGGCTCCCACATTAGCTACAGAGTAATACATGAATAATATGACCCATTCCATTGCAGGCTTACCGTTCTATTTGATTTAGTGTTCGACACAGACACATTATACTTCAGATTGGAGTATATTTGTTGCATGGAAATAGGAATGTCTTCTGGATTTCTCTTCCACTTCTCTGGAGCCGTCAGGACAACAGAAATGGACTTATCACCCACCTTCAGGGCCACCTCCGGTGGGCCAATTTGTGCTTAAAGGAGAAGAGAGAGGTTATTATCATGTTCAGATGTAAAAATTACCTTAGATAAAGCTACCATATAATGCTACTCGGATCAAAGCTCTAAAAGACACCTTCTTACAGGAGATGCCTCAAAATGTACTAAGGTGGGCCTGAGTTATGCTTAATCTTGAAACCATTTCACACAGCCTGATACAATGATAGAATAGCAAATTCAAGTGTTATATTTCCCTATTCCCATGCATAAACAGTATCTGGTGATGGTTAATGCCATCAAAAATGTTTCTAACATTTTTTTGACTTGAAAAATTGGTGATAAATGACAAAAACATGATTTGATAAGTGGAAAATCAGAGATGTGATTAGAATGATCTAGAACAGAGACTAGGAAACTTTTTTTTTTTGAGACGGAGTTTCGCTCTTGTTACCCAGGCTGGAGTGCAATGGCGCGATCTCGGCTCACCGCAACCTCCGCCTCCTGGGTTCAAGCAATTCTCCTGCCTCAGCCTCCCGAGCTGGGATTACAGGCAGGCGCCACCACACCCAGCTAATTTTTGTATTTTTAGTGGAGATGGGGTTTCACCATGTTGACCAGGATGGTCTCAATCTCTTGACCTTGTGATCCACCCGCCTCGGCCTCCCAAAGTGCTGGGATTACAGGCTTGAGCCACCGCGCCCGGCCCGAGACTAGGAAACTTTTATCCTAAAGGTCTGGACAGTAAATATTTTAGGTATTACAGGCCATATGATCCCTGTTGCACTACTCCACTCTTGTAATGCAAAAGCAGTCTAAGTATGTAAACAAATTAGTGTGGCTTGTGTCCCAATAAAACTTTATTTATGACTAGACACCAACATTTCAAATTCCTGTACTTTTCCAATGTCACAAAATATTCCTTGGATTTTTAGAAACTATTTAAAAATATAAACACCATTCTTAACTCTTGGCCTGTAGAAAAACAGAAAGGGGCTTATTGGATTTGTCCCAAGGGTAGTTTTCTGACCTTTGATCCGGGAGGGCTCTCAGACTTACGGAGCGCCTGTAGGGTTCATTACGGCAGCCCTGAGTGGGTGCTTCATGACTGAGTCAGCCACAGCTCAGGGGATGGCAACATTATAAAAGCAGATACCAGGAAGACGTTGCCCTGGTTCTGAGTTACACTTGGAAATTGCATCATCACACTACCAAGTTCATATAAGAAAAGGCATAGTTGGGATCATCAGGACAATCTTTAATCAGTCTTGTGGAGACAGTAACAGTCCATAAACCCACACTAAATAGAGTCAGTTTTGTTCCTCAGATTACATAGCTTCTATTAAGTACTAAGACAAAGTCAAAATTTGGTATCATTTTCTTCTACTATCAACTTTGGAGCTGGGAGAGATCTTACAGACCACTTGGCTAAACCTTTGACTCAAAGATGAAGACTCAGGCTGGGTGTAGTGGCTCAAGCCTGTCACCCTAACACTTTGAGAGGCTGAGGTGGGAAGACTGCATTAGCCCAGGAGTTCCAGACAAGCCTGGTAACATAATGAGGCCCCGCCTCTACAGTCAATCAATCAATCAATCAATGTGAGACTCAGAGCCAGCAAAGTTAAGGACCTTGGCCTGTCACTCAGCCCACTGGTCCAGAATAGAGACAAGGAGAGCACCTTCCTCTGGGCAAGGCTGTCTATGGGGCTGAGACTGTTAAACCTGATAGTAATATATGTTTAACTGATAATTGCAATAATTGCATTACTTACTTTCTAAAAAAGGATAGAACCGTCCACTCTCAGCCCATTTGGAACACTCTGTCCCCCACATGGCCTTAACTTTGGCATAATACTGGTGTTCGTAGTCAGAAGTTTCAGCAGAAAGATCACAGTAGGTCCTACTGATATTTCTGCATTCTGATTTATTCAGCCATTTCTTTTGCCCATATCTGCTAAGAAAAAAGCTGAATTAATAATGAGGTGCCCTCTATACTTTACAATAAAAAACTCAGTCATTTTATGAAACTGAATGGAACTAAAGACCTTCTCTTCAGAAAAACAAAAGTGCCTGTCATTGAGATAAAAAAGAATCCACTTTTGCTGTGGGCAATTTTTTTCATTAGCTGTCAGGAACATGAGTCAGAGTTTCTGTAATCACCTTTCTTTCTGTGAATTATAATGTGCATAGTACATTTTGAAAGCATGTATTTTATTGTTATTCTTTGGCTACAGTATAATTTTTACATATTGTATGATCAATTCTTCTAGTAATTATCTATGTAGGTTTTTAGTCTACTATGTACACAAGGTCACTTTGATGGATTGTTTTAAGGACAGTTTGTCATTTTTTGGGGGGAAGAAAAATTACCTTGACGGTCCCATAGCATATAAAAATATAAGCATCAAGAATTCTAGGAAAAATACACGTGGCTGGAATGCATACAAAAATCTGCATTTTCAATAATGACAGTGATGATGGTGATGATTATATTGACTAGGTTGGTCACATTGATTTTCCTTTTCTTTACTAAAAACAGAACTCCCACAGCAAATAGGGATGGGGGCAATATTTTTAGCCCTTTTCAGGTGAGAGAAACCAAAGTGTAGAGTTCAGGTGACATATGATAAGCCAGTGAAAGGAACAGGGGAGGGAGCATGGGAAAGCTGATGGGTTACAAGTGGCAGCCTAGGTAACAGCTGAGAGGACACTGCAGGGGTCCAGGGGAAGTCGTAGGTCACTTGGACAAGGATAGGGACAGTAGGACAAATAAGGACAGGACAAAACCAAAAAATATTAGGAGAAAGGACTTGGTGATAGAGAACATGTAACAGATTAGGGAAATGAAAGTGGTAAGGATGCTGTCTCTTTCTGTCTAGAGTAGATGGGTGGAATGGTGGTGACAGTTGCCAAGATAAAGAGCACTGAGACAGAGCAGATTTGGGAAATGCATGGAGAGGCATAGCAGGAGGGAAAGATAAGACATTTACTTTTGATGTCTTGAACCTGAGTATGTAAGAAATATTCCAATGCAGACGCCTAGTGGGCAAAGCGGCTCAGGAGAGACATGTGAGGGGGAGGTAGGGATTTTGGAGTCAATGGCATCAAACTGCTCACTGAAGGCACAGGCATGAATGAATTATCTGTGGAGACAAAACAAAGTCTAGGATAAAATTTCAGCAGCATCAAGATTTAAGGGTTGGATAGAAAGAAGACCTGGAAGTTGCAGCTATAGATGAGAAAAAAACATTATCATAAAGGTCAAGGGAAGAGTGCCTTGAGAAAGAGGATATATCCATGCATTGCCAAGCTTATGGCTGTCATCTCTTTTCAGAATATGGCAACAGATTTCTGAAAGTAAAGATGTTTCCCATTTCCTAAGTATCATACGTACCAAAGACATCAGAAACATAGCCAGATGTTACTGACCAACTTCTCCATCCAAGTGATCACTGTTACTTAGGGGCTTTCAATTTTTTTTGACCATGATCCACAGGGGAAAAAAATATATTTTACTTTGTGATTCAGCTCACAACATATACAACTATCTAACATATTAAAACAAAAATTTTACAAGAAAATATTTAAACTTTACCACATGCCTTGCATTCAGTTATTTTTTTGGTCCACTCCATTCCACACCATTCCATTCCTTTCCATTAAAAGTAATGTTAGTTATGTCCCTCAACATTCATTTCACGACTCATCAAAGAGTCTTGAGTTGTGGTTTGAAGACTATTGCCATTGCCCATGTGACCCCTCCCTCCTCAGACTTCCTCACCCTGCCAAGGGCAGGGTAGCTTCCCATGACAGATGCTGATGCAGGAGAAAAGGCTCTTTACAAGATTTTGAACAAGATAGATGAATAATAACCAGAATCACTCAGCATATATTCCAGTAATAACACTCATGCATGGCAAACATTCATGTGGGGCCTTCAGTGGTCTCTGATTTACAAGCTTTATCTCATCTAATTATCATAACAATCCTAGGGGGTAGGTACTCTTATTTTCATCCCATTTTACAGATGAGGAAGCTGAGGCTTAGGGAGATTAAGGGATCGACTCAAATGCACATGACTAGTAGAAGGCATACCTGGGATTTGAACTATTCCTCCCTGACTCCAAAACTTCTGTTTTTAGTGCTACATTCTATTTTTTGCATTAAACCCTTTTGGTGGATAGAATTTAAACTTTTGTTAAATTTTCACCTTGCAAAGAAACTTCACTCAAAAGTATAAAAGTATAATCTGTAACTTACCCAGCTAGGTTCAAAGCCTGGCTATGAACTATGGACTCTCTGACTGCAGAGCTGAGCTTGGAGCCCTCTGGCAGTGAAACACGCTGCCCTCTCTCTGCTCCTTTCCATCTTTCACGTGCACAGGCATGTAAGAACTCTGACGTGGCAAGCTTCTTTTAAAGTACATTATTTTTAAAAGTTGCACAATCTAAGTATCTGCTCACACAGAGCAGTGATGACTCCGCCTGTTTTGAAAATCCCTTTTTGAATCCCATAAAACACAGGACAGAGCAAGCTCTTTGCTCCACCTAATGGAAAAGGAAGCAAGGACATGCTCATGAACTACTTCTCTCTGCAAAGCGACTTCTTTCCTCTAACACTGGTTCCTGAGAAACCCCTTGGAAATGAGAATGAGTTTCTAGATAAATGAGGTCACTGTGAACCGCTGCTGAAGTCTTTCACTGGCTTTAGTGGTCTGATTTTTTTTTTCAAAGGCAACACTGACTTGATTCGTTTTTGAAAATATGGTAAATGTTTGTCAATTCAAACAATCAAACAATTCAGAAAGCATAATCAAAAGAGAAACAAATCACCCTAAAACCCATTACTCCAGAACATTTGGTGTGTATGATTCTGGATATCTCATTGTGCTTCTGTATAAACAGAAGGACGATTAGAGAGCAGAATAGATGGACAAAAATTAGATTGTACCATACATATGGTTTTAATAAAAGTAGTCAATTCAATGTGCCTTGAACTTTAATAGAGAAAAGATATTGAAGTGAAATTAAAGGAACGGCTAAAGTGCAAATGTTTGTCACCACAAGAGATATTTGTTCCTAAAAGAGCTTTTAAATTAAGAAAATGGTTTGTGAAAAATATTGAGGTTAATTATTACAATAATGAAATATTGTCATTTTAGATCACTTCTAAGGGCTTCTGGCTGTGAAAATTAGCACGTGGTTTTCCCCCACCTATTCCACCTTATATTATTGTTTAAGTTCAAATTATTTTATCGAAACTTTTATAATGACATTTCCATCACTATTTAGTCTTAGCTCTACATTTAGATGAATTCAATGCATGCCACCATTCTTTTTTGTCATCACTAAGCTCTTCTTTTGGGTTGTCTTTATCTCTCGGTTAGCTGGAGGTCATCCTTAGTGCTCCACCTCATCCTCAGGAAGGTCTCAGGAAAGTGATCTCCTGAGTTTCCACCTGCTTCCAAACACCAGTCTATTGAACTTAGTGAGAGCCTCAGGTCATACCTGTCTTTACCTCAGAAGACGTATTCTGTTGAGTGTTGTCAGACTGAAATTTCCCTTTTCTCCCAACTTGAGTTCTGCTTTTGCTAAAATGGGCATGAATCATTTAATTTTCTTAAAGTCCAGTCACTTCACCAGGCTATGTCTTGCTACTGTTTTTACCAAATTTTTTCTAGACATACCACACATTTATGATACACAGTTCCAAACAGTCTTCATTACCTGTTCAACCATTACTATCACTTAGCTCTAACAGGTTTTTCATCTTGATACAGTATTTTTATATTCCAATATTCCTAAGCTCTGCACACTTCCTCAAAAAAAAAAAGTTCTCCCTGTTGTCTTAGAATCTCCTTTCACTGTTTTCTTTGAGCTTTACCTTTACAGATCCTGTTGTTTATGTACTCTGACAAAATTACTGTTATTGGTTTTAATTCTTTCTTACTTCCACAGCGAAGCTTTTTGGAAACCTGTATTCTTTTTTCCTCTTTACCCCTCCAAGTAATTATGAGTAGGTGCTATGCTAGTTTCTTTGGGGCTATTGCTCTTTGAGTGGGGCCAGCTGTTTGTTGAACAGGCAAATGGATATAAGAATAGGGCTCAGAAAATGAGCTTTTGCTCTCCACAATTTCTTTTTTTTTAAGATAAAACCTGGCTTTATCACCCAGACTGGAGAAAAGTGGTATGATCTCAGCTTACTGCAACCTCCACCTCCTGGCTCAAGCCATCCTCCTACCTCAGCCTCCCAAGCAGATAGGACTACTGGCATGTACCCTCATAACTGGTTAATTTTTTGTATTTTTTGTAGAGACAGGGTTTCATTATATTTCCCGGGTTGGTCTCGAACTCATGAGCTCAAGCGATTCATAAGTCTCAGCCTCCTATAGTGCTGGGATTACAGGTAAAAGTTACTGCATCTGGCCAGTGATCTCCATAATTTTAAACTTCTGTTTCCATCAAACACCCGCTCATAAAATCTCTTATTGTTTTTGCTGGGAAGGCTGCCTGCCCTCAGGTTTTAGGCTGCAGGAGGCTGATGTTGCAGCCTTTCTGGGCTGCCTCCCAGCCAGTGCTACCTCTCTTTCCTCCTGTCCCCTGCTCACTCCCAGCTTCTCCCTGGGCTGGGACGGAGCCTCTGCAATGAACATGTCCTGTGTGCCTGATTTCTATTTCAGCTCCTCCATCTCTGACATTCTGTGCCACCCAGCTGGGGCTCCACGGGGACATTTCCTTAATTTCTGGTGGGGGCAATCCTTAGATTTCCATACTCTCAGATTGTGAAGTGGGCCTCTTAGTACTGTGACACTTATTTTCGTGAAATCGTTTCCTGTGGTTGGAGCTGGGAAGGTATAGGTTTGCTTTCCGCTTCTGCAGCTGTTTTCTTTCAGATTCCATCGGATCCGGCTTAGGTGCTTCCTAGTTTGTGGTTGGAGTTGTGGCCATTTTCTTTGTTTCTCTGAATCTGTTTTGCATTCTTTCTTGTTTGCAATGAGTTTTGAGGGCCAGATGAAACGCCTATTCACTGCTATCTTTAAGTAAAACAGCTGAATGCACAAAATATGCACATAGTTTCAGGGAGTCTAAGGATGCCAATAATTCCAAACAGCTTAGAAATTTCAGAGATGATGGGCTGCTTTATTTGCTCTGCTACCTCATAATGTTTTGACTAACTTCTTTTCTCTGTCTAAATAGCATTTCCTTGCCTGAGCCCCCTTCTGTCTCCATGAAGAAACTGTTTTCTAATTTAACCTTACAAAACATCAAGAAAACTTAACCGGAAACATCTAAAACTTTTCTCTTTTTCAAACACATTTAATACCACAGATAGTTTATCTTTGCACAATTCACAGGAGTCTGAGTCTTGTGTGTGTAAGCCAGCCAAAAGGAAAGAAGAAACTTACATGAAATACTGCACAGTGTAAGTAACTTTAACTCCTTGAAGATCCTCTGGTTGATTCCATTGCAGGACATTCTTCATGTTGATGGATAAGAAGGTGATGTTTGCAGGTTTAGGCAAACCACCAGAGACACAGGGAACTAAAAAAGGAGCACAGAGGAATTGAGGTCTTAGCGGTAGAAAAGGTAAACATGATTAGTGTAGTAGTTAGTCTCCAGAGATGGCCCCCAGTACACCATGCCCTCCAGCATGCATGTCCTATGTAACAGCTCTCAAATGGAAAAGAGAATGTGGCAGAGGGGGCCTTAGGAGTCAGCTGTGGGATGAGAGGGCAGGTTCTAGGCAGAGAAACTCAAGATGGGAAAGGGCGTATCCAAAAATCCAGTGTCTTTGGAACTGTCAAAAGATCAGTTTGGAAAGCTGACGAAGAGGACAGTGGCCAAGATGAATCTAAGGAGTACAAAGGAGCCAGATCCCCCATTTCTCTAAACCCTGGGAAAACATCTGGACTATATTTGAAATTCATAGGAGAGTACTGAAGCCTCTGCAGCAGGGGAGAATATGAACCGATTTATATTTCAAACGGATCACTTCACTGCTGAAGGGAGAAAAGACTGGATGGACCAAGGGGAGAAGGGAAAAGGCAGCGAGGCCATAACTGCATTAGCCCCAGTATGCACCAAGATGCAGGCTGTGGAGAGGGAGATGCGTGGACAGCTTGGAACTCAAGTTTCAAACTAGTGGTGGGACCTGCCGATGAAACACGGGTTCCATCAGGAAGAAAGTGGCTGTGCTGTGAATGCAAAATTAACAGATTAAGATCTAGCAAGGAATGCTCATGTTTTCATCTATTTTGATGATGCAAAGGAGTGATAAAAAATAGAATTAGGTGGGATGCTTGGGCTCACACCTAATCCCAGCACTTATGGAAGCCAGATCACTCAAAGGCAGGCAGATCACTTGAGGGCAGGAGTTTGAGACCAGCCTGGCCAACATGGTAAAACACTGTCTCTACTAAAAATACAAAAATTAGCCAGATTTGGTGGCAGGCATCTGTAATCCCAGCTACTTGGGAGGCTGAGGCAGGAGAATTGCTTGAACCCACGGGGTGGAGGTTACAATAAGCTAAGATCCCACTGCTGCAGTCCAGTCTGAGTGACAGAGTGAGACTCTGTCTAAAAACAAAACAAAACAGAATTAGCAGAGTTTTTTTTTTTTTTAAGGAAAAGAAATAGTACATTTGAAAAAGAAATACAATTTTATAACTAGTATTCTCTTTTGTTTAAAAAAATTTGCAAAATTTTTAGGCACTGTGTTTGCTTCAAGTTTGAAAAACACGAAGAAAGACATTCCTGAATAAACATCTCAGTGGAGAAAAATCAATTTTCTAACCTGCTAGTACTGATAAGATCATCGAATCAACACCAAAGTGAAAACATGTCACACCCACATTGCTATCAGGAAATGGGTCCCAATTAATGAGTAACAAATACATTTTAACAAATATATTTGCTGTCTGGAAGCATGGCTCTGCTTCTCTGCAATTTTTGAGATTTCACATCCCAAATTAAAAAGCCCTTGGATCGGTGCACAGTTTTGTTTCGGGAGTGCCAGATCATCATGACTTTGGTTTGGTACACACATTCCTCAGATGGGTGGGCCCAACCTCTCCTTTTGCAATTCTGCCAAATGCACCATGTTCACCAGCCACACCAAAATACTTTCAATACCTGAACTTACCCTGTTGTTTCACACCTTGACAGTTTAGGTCCCTTCTGCCTACGGTATCTTTTGGAACTAAGAGACAGACCCCTTGTTCTTCTACGTGTGCATCACTGAATAAATATTGGCTTGTGCTATTTTAATGACATGATTGTGCTGAGATGTGCAGGGTATGTATGGTCTCCACTAAAGTGAGCATTCCTGACCACAGACTTCTGGGTAGGAGGCTGATCTTTCCCAGAGGAAACAGAACTCAGAAGACTGAGGGAAGGGGTATCAACTCCGGATTCCATTTGAGGTTTGAATGAGGAAGGATATGTGAGGATGCCCCTTTGAGTTGTGGGTATAAAGATGGTCTCTGCCTTTACAAAGCTGTGAGGAGTAGGCAAGGAACTATCTGCTTAATGAACTTCGAGGTAATGATTGATGGCCCGTAGCTTGTAAGCCACCTCGAGATCTGTGTTCCCTCTCAGTGTTTATTTCCCTTTTGTTATATTATACCTTGGCGCCATAATGGAATGTTTGTGTTCCTCCTCCCCACCAAAAAATTCACAGGTTAAATCCTAACACCCAATGTAATGGTGTCTGCGGGTGGGGCCTTTGTAAGGTGATTAGGTCATAAACGCAGTTCTCATGAGTGGGATTAGTGCCCCCATAAAAGAGACCCCAGAGAGGTCCCTCGCCCCTTCCAACATGTGAGGACGCAGTGAGAAGATGACCATCTATGTATGAACCACGAAGTGGGCCCTCACCATCCACCAAATTTGCCTTGATCTTGGACTTCCCAGCCTCCAGAAGTGTGAGACATAAACTTCTGTTGTTTATAAGCCACTCAATCTATCATATTCTGTTCTAGCAGCTGGAATGAACTACTGCATTTGGCCTTTGGGAAATTATTCTAGCCCAGCTTCATTTATGCTCTAGCACCAAAGGAAAAAGTCCTCTGTTTGCTCTTAGGAAGGAAGAGCAATGAATTAATAAAATAGATCCAGTAGGAAGAGAATGGATTAATAAGATAGATCTAAATGGGTAAATTTATCATTAGTGGAGTTTTATAAAATGTGGCTGCTACATTGGTTCTAAGAGTTACTTTAAATACAGGTCTGTTAAGTACAGCAAAATGGTTTGTGACATTTTCCTAATGGCCTCAAAGTAAATACTAGGGTTTTCATCTAAGTATGCTGCAGTTTTCATTATATGCCTGACAGTAAAAGTTATTTCTTTTTTGTTGTACTGCAGGAAAAGCCTATGCATAGATTAGTGCCCGATGAACACCAGTTAAAAGTGGTAAGGTTCCCAGGGCAAACTCATAAAGAGCCCGGGTAATGAGCCTCTGTGGTTAACTCAACCTCTCTCTTTCGTGGCTGAGGCATTTCAACATTTCCATTATGGCCAGCACATTCATTAACCAGTATAGAAAGCAAACAGGTTGCAAGAGACTGGACAGTCAAGTTTGTTCAATTCTGAAGAGTCCCCTTTGGGACCATTCAAATATCTGAAGCTTATGACCAACTGGGGTAGCCTTAGCATTGCAGAAGCCCTACTCAACTTTGTCCAGAGAAGGCCCAGATGTCCTGCCGCCTTTACCCTTCTAAAGCTGAAGCTGTGAAGGAATCAGAGGCTCTGAGATGTTTGACACTGACCAGGTCTTATATGGTCTTTGTATTCTCAGTGTCTGGCAAAGAAATGCTTTGGAACTGAACTGACCAGGAACCCTTGGGGCTGACATAAGTCATGGCAGATCCTAGATTCACATGAGCATTGAATTGAAGTGGAACAACTTGACCTACCAAATCTGTGTAGCTTGAAATCATCTTGATAAGCTTACATTACACACAGGATCTGTACCATCAGAAGATACTAAACAGCTGGGTTTTAATGAAGGCACAGTAACCCATGGCATGGCAAGTGGTTGCTAAATATTTTAAGTGTATTTTTAAATGGGAAAATACCTTCATAGGCTTGTGGGAAAAAGAAATCCCAGCCCAGGTGAGTTTTCTACCATGGGAAAAAGGTTAAAAGGCAGTACAAAAAAAAAAAAAAACCGAGGATGATTGACTAATTTCAGAAAGCAGATGTTGTAAACAATGACATGCTAACCACCAAAGTGCAAAACAGGTATGACTGCCTTCATAGAGATTATCTTGAGCATTGTTTTAATTTCATCATGCTGAAAAGAAAGGCATGTTTTCTTCTGTCCCAAGTTACAAACGCTTTCTCTTTTTTTTTTTTTTTTTTTTTTTGAGATGAAGTCTCACTCTGTCACCCAGGCTGGAGTGCAGTGGCACGAGCTTGGCTCACTGCAACCTCTGCCTCCCAGGTTCAGGCAATTCTCCTGCCTTAGCCTCCTGAATAGCTGGGATTACAGGTGTGTGTCACCACGCCCAGCTAATTTTTGTATTTTTAGTAGAGATGAGGTTTCACCATGTTGGTCAGGCTGGTCTCATACTCCTGACCTTGTGATCCACCCACCTCAGCCTTCCAAAGTGTTGGGATTACAGGCATGAGCCACCGTGCCCCGCCACAAACCCTTTTTCTTGAAAAATATTAATTGATCTTCCTTCTTTGTCTAATTATATGTCAAGTTCCCACAAAAAGTTAGTCTTCTTCTTTTTTTAAATTGCCCAGGCTGGAATGCAGTGGCATGATCTGGGCTCACTGTAATCTCTGCCTCCTGGGTTCAGGCCATTCTCCTGCCTCAGCCTCCCGAGTAGCTGGGAATATAAGCACCACCCACCAAGCCCAGCTAATTTTTGTATTTTTAGTAGAGACGGTGTTTCACCATGTTGGCCAGGCTGGCTTTGAACTCCTGACCTCAGGTGATCCACCCACCTTGGCTGCCCAAAGTGCTGGGATTATAGTTATGAGCTACCACGCCCAGTCAAAAAGTAAGTCTTTTAAACAGCACTTAAAATATTATTCAGTGAATATCTACCTGAGAAAAAAGGTGCACACTGTCTTCTATAAAGGACGGAGCACGATTTGGTGCTAGCATTAGTTCCTCTGCACTTGATTTTCTTCCCCTAACCACCACCTCACTATTAGTTCTCTGACTAATTGCTAGACCAGTGCATTGCCTCAGTTTTCGCCATAATAATACTGTCCATTCTTACAGGGTACTGCCAACTGCCCTAACCCAATGGTTTCTAATAACTGTTTATGTGAACAGCTCAGGGAGAGATTCCCTAACAAAAGTTCTAGAGTCACACTGGAGCCACGCCATGATCTATGTCTTACCAGCTGTGTGCCCTCAAGCCAGTTACTTAACCTGTGTCTCAATTTCCCCATTTGGAAAATGGAACAGTACTACCTGCCTCTTAGGCTTGTTGCAATGATTAAGACTCTTCACTAGAACTCCTGGAACAGTGCCTGGCACAAAGAAAGAGCTCAATAAGTATTCGCTCAGTATTGTCCTCCA